CCCTTTCGGAAGTGGCCAAAACTCGTTGAAAATCGAGAAGAGGCCTGGTCCTGTTCTGATCTCTGGGAAGATGGTTCTCCAGGTATGTAGAATTTACTCCCAAAGAGATTTAGTCTGGGGGGTGTCATTAGTGTTCCGCTGAAGTGTTTGGTCGGACCATCTTTGTTTCCCTTTCGAAAGTGGCCAAAACTTGTTGAAAATCCAGAAGAGGCTTGTCATGTTGGTTGGAGAAGTGAAGGGAGCGAGTTCTCTGATGTGGTTTAGGGCTAATGGGGTCCAGTGTAGATTGTCATGTAGGGCTAGTCTTATGACCCATTTGATTTGTAAAGCATGTATTTGACAGGTTGGATCTATAAGACCTAAGCCCCCTTTGCTTTTTGGGCTGGTGACTATCTGCCAGACGACCTTGTGAGTAAAGTGCTCCTTGTCCGGATTGCCTGTCCATAGGAATGCTGCAACTTTTTTCCTTAACCGACTTTGGAAGTCTGGGGCTGGGAACCATATGGAGGTAGAATACCACATCATTGCTAGGATGGAATTATTGAGCGCCAACACCCTACCTAATAAGGAAGTGTGTGTGGCTTTCCAGGTGTGCATCCTATTAACTATTGATTCAGAAGACAAAAGTGATGTTGCTGAAATCTGGTGGCATCCTTTGAGGTTGAGGTTAATGCCCAAGAATCGGATTGGTGAATTCGGATCTGTCCACTGAAGACCTGGAGGGGTTAATTTTGTAAGGGGGGGTGTGTCTGCGGTCCACCAGCCTATTGGCTTGGTCTAGTTGACTTTCATTTATGAGGCTAGCTGGAATGCTTGCATTGCTCTTATCAGAGCTTGAAAGGAGGAGTTTGTTGCTTTGATTAGTACTGTAAGGTCATCCGCGAATAGGAGGGTGGTGGGGATGTGAAGGTGTCGACCTCTTTCGTCTGTAATGCTTTCTAATCTCTCGATTGATCTACCCTTTCTTAGGAAGGCGGTGATGGCCTCCATAACGAAAAGGAAAATCGGTGCTGCTAGTGGGTCCCCTTGTCTTACAGACCTTGTCATTAGGTAGCGGTCCCCTTATCCGTTGTGCATCGTTGTAGAGTATTCTCACCCATTTCCAGAAGTTAGGACCTACTCCCATTCTTTCCATGCCGGCCTGGAGAAAGTCCAGTTTACTTGATCGTATCCTTTCTCGAAGTCCAAGAAGAGGATGGCTGCTGCGATCCGTTTTTGGTTGATTATCCTCGTGGATTCACAGAGAGACATTACATTGTCCAAGATGAGTCTTCCTGGTATGAACCCTGTCTGATCAAGGTGGAAGCATCCTCCTGTGATGTTGTTTATTCTGGTGGCTAGGAGTTTGGCTAGGATTTTGTAGGCTACATTCAGTAATGAGATGGGCTTGTAATTTTTTATGTCCTCTTTGTTACCCTGCAGGAGTGTCACCACTCCCACGCTGTGGGCTTACCTACTATTCCCAAAGGGGCGCTTTTTTGTGGGCTTACCCACAATTTTCGGCGAAAAAGAGGGACTTATTCACAGTTTGCCTTGGTTTTGTGTCTGAATGTCCATCGCTAATCTTCTCTCGTTTTTGTATTGTGCCAATTTGACGATTAGCGAGAGAAGATTAGAGATGGACATTAAAAAACAGGGGCGCTTTAATGTCCCAATCGACGTGCACATCTGGATTGAGATTGCACTTTTCAACTTTCTTTGGAGATAAAAATAAAAAAAGTAGTCGAAGATTTTCAGGTGTCCAGTTTACCTGTGCTATGGGGTCTGCCAAGGACAGTGCAAGGATGGGAACACCATTGGATTTGATGATGGATTCACGACCAGATATCACCAACGCAAGAGATCCGAGGACTCTGTCAGGATGGCAAGAGCAGCAGAATGAGCAGATTAGTGGTCATAATTAATCATGCGAGAAACGGACGAAATAACTTCAAAGTTCAAATAAGAACACTACTAATTAGGAAGGCCAAAAATGAAAGCAACCAGACCCAGTCCAGCAACTGGACAAAACCAACCAACAAAGACGTGCTCCAAAACATAGTTTCTCCCCCTCCCCCCCCCCCCCCCTCTCTCTCTCTCTCTCTCTCTCTCTTTCTCTCTCTCTCTCTCTCTCTCTCTCTCTCTCTCTCTCTCTCTCTCTGAATAGTCTTCTCTGCATAATTCCAATTTCAGCACATGTCCCTACGGACTGCACTTTTTTTTTTTATTTTTATTTTTTTTTACTGCACGTCGTGGCAGAGCACGAAGAGACCGTCCATCAGACAGGGGCACACCCTGCGAACGACCAGAGCTGAAAAAATGGTGCATCTTCAATTCTCTTGAAACAAAGGAATACATCCACAGCTTGCGGTACTCCGAGAAGATGACCATACACAAACCAGGGAAGAGAGAGAGAGAGAGAGAGAGAGAGAGAGAGAGAGAGAGAGAGAGAGAGAGAGAGAGAGAGAGAGAGAGAGAGAGAGAGAGAGAGAG